AATAGAATCACTTAAGCCCAAGAGTTTAAGGTTGCTGTGAGCTATGACACTACGGCACTCTACCTAGGGTGACATAGTGAGACTCTGTCTCAACATAAAAATAAATAAATAAAAATAAAATAAATACATGGATATTGTAAACTTATGCAAAAATCCTTACATAAAAAAGTCACAAAAATTTTATGCATATTATTCTATTTTGCGCATATTAATTACATGAAAATATTGAAAATATATTTATATAGTAAATAACTCTATTAGCAGGTTACTTGCTTTATAACTTCACAGTATATTGCAGATGTTTTTCTCAACTGGTATACACAGTTACATTGCATAGTGAATTTATTTGGAAAATCACTTGTTGATATTTAACATTTTTTTAGTAATAAGAACATAATTTCTAATGTTAAACAACTTTTGTTAAAAGCAATACAAGTGATACAAACCTTACATAAAGGTTTAAAATAAAATCATATTATGTATGCTGTTATACAATTAGTTTTTAACCTAATATATCTTAGCTATTTTTTCATGGTGGTAACATAAACATAAGAACTCCTTTTTTTGCTAACAACATGTAATGAGTTTTCTGTTGTATGGAGCATCATGACTGAACTATACACAATGCAAAGAGCTCATTAACCAGCCAGCAAAACAAGTTTCCCCTGCTCTGTTAATCTTAAAGTTAATTTCTCTCATTACAACTAAAATGTGACCAATTAAGTAAAAACCCTCTTCTAAAATGTAACAGTCACTCATTTATGTCCTTTAATAAAACCTTATTTTTACATTAAACTTGACTTTTTTAGAAGTGGTCAGTATGTTCATTTTTTTAGGAAGCAGTATGTTCATTTTATATATATATTTAAATAGCTATTTAAAAATCAGAAAGTGCAGTGTTTCATTATGGAAATTGAGCAGACAGCAGGTCTTCACACTCCAAGTCTGATAGTTTCTACCAGGAGAGCATAGCCCAATCTTTTGAGAAAGATACCACTGCTAATAAATGTGTTTCACTATCTCATATTTCACATGCATGCTAGGATAGAACTAAGGCCAAGATTCAGCAAGATAAGAGTACAGCAATGTACTACAGAGTTAAACAATATACTAGAGTTAAGAAGCTACACGACTAAAAGCATCCTTTATGTATATTTTTCTTTTC